CTAGAAGAGGGGGGTTGTACTCACCGAAGCCGTAGGCATGTCAGGTCGCTTGTTCCGAATAGGCTCCGCCATGGTGTTCGATACGACTTGCTGTCGTAGGCTTCTCTGTGCGGATAGTTGAAGTGTGAAGCGAACGGGTGTACTGGAGCCGCGATAATCCGTGGCGTGATTGCAGATGTCTTGACTGAAACCTGTGATGGAGTTCTATCGAAGATGCAGTGGTATGGTGCAGCGGTGCGGTGCAGTTTTCCAACTTGTGGTGGGGGAACAGGGATAAAAAAAAATGGCCCAGGCTCACTCAACCCCCCCTCGACACGCCAGTAGAGTTGTTGAGTTGGGGGGGGGGCCTTCGGAAAGGATTGGCTAGGCTCAGTTTCCAATTAGCGCCCCTATAAAGTAGTATCATCACAGTCTCGCATAGATACATGATGCCAGCGGCCTGAAAAGCGCTTGCCACAGAGAAGAATGTTGCTCCATTGCGACTAATGGGTCACAGCAGATAGCAGAAATGATAAGCTTCTATTGTGGACCCTGCCAAAGAAGACATCGATAGCAAACCACTGTGGTGACTTCATCCTCCAGGAACCTGTTAATTAATTCTGCTAGTCCTAACCAACCAACGGTTGTTCGTGCCGAATCTTGCGCAGTCGACAATAGCGAGTCCTCTCGACACTCTCACTTCTCCGAAACCACACTTCCAAATCACAGCAAGCTTGTCTGGGTTTCTCGGACCTGAGATTAAGCTAGACAGTGGTCGGGGAAGAAGTTGCGCAGTCCCAGGCTCTCATGATGAATACGCATTTCACATGACGTCGATCAAGTGAAGCAAACCATGGACGAAACAGACCCGCTGAGTCCTTCGGGGCTAGAGAACGGTCACTCGAGATCAGGCAGCCGCGTGTTGTATCGCATGAACTCAAACCAAAGCAACACGAGTATATTCGAGAACGTAGAAATGGCACATGATGAGGTTGGCCCTCCCTTAACACGGGATACAGCTCGGTGCGCACCTACGAGGAAAATTTGCTGACATGGTGGCATAAAGCTCTACTCAGGTCCTATTGCGGAAAGTCTTCCAACAAGTGTGTCCGCATTCTCCCATCGACGACCCCGAGCGGACTCGACAGCGAGCTTCACATATTATCAAGATGATTCGGAAGAGCCGCAAAACGAACTCACCTACGAAAACGACGGCTATGAGGATGCGATCTCTGACGACATTGGCGACTTGGTATTCGGTGTTGATGATGATGATAATTCATCCGACATCGAGAGCGGAAGGCAGAGTGGGCACTTCGCACTTCGAAGAAGATCTTCAACACAATCACGTTCGTCCGTTCATGATCGACTTCTTCGCACCGACAGCGCTCGAACTACCGAAAGTCAATATACCCGTGGACGACAAAGTCAGAAAGTGTACATGGTCAATGAAGATCTGACCATTGTAGTCGCTGGCTTCCGCACTAGTCCTATCGGACTAGCAGCTTACATTCTCCTGAGCGTTTTTTCGCTGGGTCTCGCATGGCTGCTTCTCCGCTGGTTGCCACGATGGCATGTCAAGCTCCTTGGCTGCCCAAGTGCTTTGAGCGAATGTGATTGGGTTGTCATTGAGGTGAGAGGACTTTATCTACTGGCCCAACCGTTGCAAGATCGCTGACACGCCCAGAACCAATGGGGAGAACTTTCTATCATGAATGTTGAGAAGAAGCTGTATGGTCGGCCGATGTCGACTATCTTTGGTTCCTCGGAAAAGACTCCCCTATTAGACGAAGAGCATGATCCAATTGTTACTGAGCTGCGCATGCTCAATTACCGATACGTCCGTCTCTACTTTAACCAGCAGGCGGATTGTTTTATTCTTTTCAGCGGTTGGAAGGACCCTAACTGGGCTGATATGAAAAGCGTCCGCTTGGGACTGGACAGTGACGAAAAGCATGTCCGCGAGGTTGTGTTCGGTAACAACGACATCGACATAGAACAAAAATCAATCCCGCGGCTATTAGTCGACGAAGTATGGCCCATCTCCCAGTGATATTCATTTCCTTGTGTAGTAAACTGACAGTAGTAGGTATTTCATCCTTTCTACGTGTTTCAAATTGCCAGCCTCATATTGTGGTCACTGGATGAGTATTACTACTATGCGATTGCAATCTTCCTTATGTCATTTGGCAGCATCACTTCTACCCTAATCGAAACCCGAGCTGTATGTTATTCAGGCTCCCACTGCACTGAGTAAGACTGACCACGTCCGAAGACAATGAAGCGGCTGCGAGAGATCTCACGTTTTGAGTGTGATGTGCGCGTGCTTCGCAACGGTTTTTGTAAGTCCTGAGCTCACGTAAGCATAGTGACAGTCTTTAACATATTAAAAGGGCGGTACGTGTCATCCAATGAGCTCGTACCTGGCGACATCTATGAAGCCAGTGACCCGAACTTGTCGCAATTCCCGAGCGACGGGCTTCTTCTCAGCGGCGACTGTATAGTAAACGAAAGCATGCTCACTGGTATGTGCACAACAATGCTTGCCGGCTCTCGGCAAACTGAATCTAACCATACTCATCAGGTGAATCGGTGCCGGTCTCCAAAACACCTGCGACTGAGGAAGCCCTTCAGCAGATGGATTTAGGCGCACCGACTGTCTCATCAGAAATCGCAAGGCACTTCTTGTTCTGCGGCACAAAGATCATCCGGGCACGCCGCCCACAAGATGACCATGGCGGTGATGCTGTTGCACTTGCTCTCGTGGTTCGGACAGGGTTCAGTACCACGAAAGGCTCATTGGTTCGATCGATGCTTTTCCCAAAGCCTTCCGGCTTCAAGTTTTACCGAGATTCATTCCGTTACGTTGGAGTCATGGCCATAGTTGCTATGCTTGGTTTTGTGGTCTCGTTGATTAATTTCATTCGTCTAGACTTGGCTTGGCATCTGATCATAGTCCGAGCCTTAGGTGAGTGCTTGTGCCTGAGCTTGGTGCCCTATGCCTGAGCTTGGTGCCCTATGCCTGAGCTTTCCTGACTGAGGATTTTTGACAGATGTCATCACCATCGCCGTGCCTCCAGCTCTTCCAGCGACACTGAGCATAGGTACAAGCTTTGCTCTTACACGCCTGAAGAAAAAGCAGATATATTGTATCAGCCCGCAGCGAGTCAATGTCGGTGGCAAGATAGATATCATGTGCTTCGACAAAACAGGAACACTCACAGAAGATGGACTGGATATCCTTGGCGTACGCGTTGCCTCAGTTGGTCGCTTCTCCGACATAATGGGCGATGTCGCCACCCTCTATAAAGCTATCAACGAGGATCTTAAGAGCAGCTTCGCGGCAGCTCTCTTCACCATGGCCACGTGTCACTCGCTGCGGGTTGTGGATGATCAACTAGTAGGCGATCCACTTGAGTTAAGAATGGTTGAGTTCGGCGGATGGGTCTTTCACGGGAGGGGCAAACAATCAAATACTGAACTCGACGAAGATGAACAGGGCAGTCTATTTACATCTGGTCGCACGCCCCTCCCGTCCAGTTTCAACAAATATCTTGGTACGAAATGCACACGAACCAACTCTTGCAGGTGAAATGGGCATCCTCCACGAGTTTCGAGTTCGTTACACAGCTTCGACGAGCTAA